TGTGTGTGGGAAGGGGGGGGGGAGGCTACAGGACATTTGGCCTCTCTGTAAGATGGGGAAGTATGATTCCAGACCACATACAGCATACTCCATGTTTCTTGGTTGGCTCCCATCCAGAGTGGTGGAGATGGTCATGTCAGGACTTGTGTGTTGAGGCGTCAGAATTGCTTCTCTTCCCCCATACAAGTCAATGAGAATGCAAAAGCAGCTTGAAGCAAGTTGATGCAGCTCAGAAGGTCGGCTGCAGATATTAGAATACTGAATGTTCTCAGGAACATCGGCAACTGATGTCAAAACCAAACGACACTTCTTCGTAGGCCGAAGCCCGCCAACACAGGTCCTACCGTGCCGTGCCAAGCTGTCCAATGATAGGTCATCTCTGGGAATATTCAGGATTATAATTCTTTTGTTTCGTAGTCTTGTTCGGGATGGTGATGGGAAGCGGCTTCCAGATGACGACCAACGAGGTACAGAGCAAACCCATCGTGCACCCCGTCATCGTCACCCTGGAGGTACGTGGCCCCTGCTGTGTATTAGTCTATGGGAGATGTCAACGTGCCCATTTAATTCTAGGGCCACATTAATATCCGTTATTATGAATTGCGCAGGGACAGCTGACGGGACGCGGCGGGGATGTTGCCGAACTGCCTTCAGTCGTGATTGTTGCCCATTATGATTCGTTTGGAGCTGCTCCGGTAAGTGACCGACTAGATAACAACATATCTCCTCCTGTGAGGTGGACAAAATGAATGGCATGTATGATGCAGACATACATGCCATGCTACAGTGTTCTCCCTCACGCCTCCCCAGGCAGCTACATTAAAAGGTTATGGGGTAGAGGAGCTGGATCAGCACAGGGAGTAATTAGACACCCACAGAAGAGGAGGGGTCTTGATGTGCACAGAGGGAGGAGGATCTCTTGCTCATTGTGTCTAGTTGATGGATAACACAAGGTCATATTTTATTCCACGGTCCCATGATCCTCCTCCACATTAGTTCTGATTGTGATGACCGGTCTGCTAAAGCTGTCCTTTTTACATCCGGTCTTGTTGCCGCCCTTTTTACTGACATCATCAGGCCTGGTCTGTAACAGTGCAGGGTCAGCAGCCCCATAATCAGGATTAGACATGGCCACGGGTAGGAGTGCCCGCTCACATTTCAGTGCCCAAGAGAAGAGGACCGGGCCACCAGCCGTGGTGAGACCTCTATGTAGGGAACGTTAGTCTGTGTCATTCTAGCCACTAGAAAATATGATCATTAGATCCCTCAGCAGAGGTAGGGGGAGACGTTATTATTATTACTTCCCTGTCCAGAGTCCGGCTTAGCACGCCCATATGACTCCATTGGAAAGTAAGGCCGAAAGTCTCAAAAAACACGGCTTTACCTCTCACCTCAACCTGGACTCTGGTCACATGACCAATGGCATTGGTCACCTGGTCTCTGCTAAAGCTGAAGATCACTGTTCAGGAAAAGCTTCCAATGGTCCAGCTCACATGTCAATCAACCTTGGGTAGAGACCATGTGACCCATGCCTATCATATGACTCATTGCTGGAGTATGACATTCACATGATGTAAGGCCATAGCTGGGAGTTCGCGCTAGGGTTGCCACCTGTCCAGGATTTACCCGGACAGTTCGGGTTTTGAATGCTGTGTCCGGGTTTCATGGTTGCAGAAACCCGGACACAAGATGTTAGGCAGACAGGGGCAACCAAAATTAAGAAAGGGGCTACTAGAGTGTTCGGGTTTCGCTTGAAGAAAAGGTGGCAACCCTAGTTCGCGCGCTACTGCACATATGCAGGTCCCAGTCTTCCAGGCAGCCGGAAAACATACGCTAATGCACATGCGCACGCAATGGAACGTACGTACGAACGTGGCGCACAGGAAGTGACACGTCTCTCCCTAATGGATGGCCCTATTTAAACTGGCTTGCTCAATGGGCCAGTGCTAAACGGTCTTTCAGTTTGTGTTCCTGTGTTTACTGTCAGTTTGATCTCCTGTTGCCTTGACCCGGATTTCCTTGTTTCCTGGATTCGCTTCTGTCTTTTCCCCTGGTACCGTGCTGACCATCTGGCTTTGACCCCTGGCTTTTTTGACTTCGCTCCAATTTCCTGCAGCAAACCACCTCTCAGCTGAATGCCAGTCTGCTCATCAGTGGCGTCCCGAGGCTGGGTGTCACCCGGGGGGGGCGGTGACCGGGTGACACCCCGCCGTGACGTCATCACGCACGCGTGTGATGTTATCACGCTTGGTGTCAGTCAATCATTTTGGTGTCACCCGGGTGCGGCCCCCACCCCCCCACACCCACCTTGTGACGCCACTGCTGCTCATCCTCCCAGGGACCCAGTTGCTGGATTTCTACCAGGCACTGTGTCTGAACACCTTGGCGCCCGTGCTCCTCTCTGTCTACTTGCTCCCTGACCCCACAAACAGGGGTGTGAGACAAGAGCAGCAAGGGAGGCCTCCTCAGCCAATCGGTCCTCCACCAGGTACGTGATACATGAACAAATCTTGGTAACTCAACTTCTCATCTCTCCGATATCTCTGGCAGTACCTGGCTTATGGAGCGGACTCCAATGGCAGCGGGGTCTCAGTTCTCCTGGAGATGGTTCGTCTCTTTCACCTTCTGTACAGCGACTGGAGGACTCAGCCCAGGTCTGCAGTGAACTCTGTAGATAGATTTTAGTGGACGCGGAATAACACACATTGATGCGCACAGATGGAGAGACGCATTTGTTGTGTTCTATTTCAGGTATAACATGGTGTTCGCTCTGACCGGAGGAGGGAAGTTCAATTATCATGGAAGCAAGCGATGGATAGAGGAACATCTGGACCATTCCGGTATGTGGATACCATGGGCGTTGTTACATCCTGGCACCCAGGGCACCTGCCTCGGGAATTCTGCTCAGAGCTCTGGGTGCCCTTTGTAGTCATTATTGTAGTCACCCCAAGAATGGTTCTTTAGACAAAACAAAATCATCAATCTTTGAAACTTTGCATGTTGGAAAACACAACCATACAAATAGAGAGAAAGGGAGAAAGTATCAATAAGGTATAGACCTGGTTTGGGTCACATGACTACAAACTCATATGACACCTGGGTGGCCATTCCAGGCAGTCTTGGGTCTTTGCCCCGGGAGCACCGGAGTCATTCCATATTATATCAGGCGCTTTATTGGAAGATGGTCACCGCATCCTTTAATAGTGTTCCCATTCCTGTTCATCCTGTAACCAGATGTGTCCACACAGGAGTGATAGATAGACATGTACACGTATTCAAGGACATACAGACACACACAGGGACATAGACACAGCAAAGCCATTCATAGCCCACCTGAGACCCAACACAGCCACCTGAGAGCCCGCATAGCCCACCTAAGACCTCACACAGCCACCTGAGAGTCTGCATAGCCCACCTGAGACCCCACACAGCCCACCTGAGACCCAACACAGCCACCTCAGAGCCCGCATAGCCCACTGAAGACCTCACACAGCCACCTGAGAGTCTGCATAGTTCACCTGAGACCTCACACAGCCACCTGAGAGCCCACATAGCCCACCTAAGACCCCACACAGCCACGTGAGAGCCCGCATAGCCCACTTAAGACCTCACCCAGCCACCTGAGAGTCTGCATAGTCCACCTGAGACCTCACACAGCCACCCGAGAGCCCGCATAGCCCACCTAAGACCTCACACAGCCACCTGGGAGTCTGCATAGCCCACCTAAGACCTCACACAGCCACCTGGGAGTCTGCATAGCCCACCTAAGACCTCATACAGCCAACTGAGAGCCCGCATAGCCCACCTAAGACCTCATACAGCCACCTGAGAGCCCGCATAGCCCACCTAAGACCTCACACAGCCACCCTGAGAGTCCACACAGCCACCTGAGAGTCTGCACAGCCACCTGAGAGTCTGCACAGCCACCTGAGAGTCTGCACAGCCCACCTAAGAGCCTGTGGAGTCCACCTGAGAGCTCACACAGCCCTGGTGAGAGCCCGCACAGGCCACCTGAGACGTTGGAGACATCATGGCACCACCCCAGAACAACACAGAGTAGCGTCAAAATTATTTTGCATTGTTGTATAATGTAATAGTGGTCTCCTTACTCTCTCCCCTGGCTTCCTCTACCTCACTCTCTACTCTATATTGTGGCAAAAATAAAATTTGCTGCGTGAGGGGCTAAAGTGTTCGGGATGAAAAGGTGACAACCCTAATACAGACAGACATGGGGCCACATTAGGTTAATTATGTCACTAGGTCTCGGCCCCTTTGTTTACATGCAGCAGTCATTCAAGCTGAATGGGGCCTAGTACATCACTGGTTGCCAAGACACCGGCAGCTCCCGGCTTCCTAGCAACCCTCATATGGAAGTTCTCAGATAAAGTAATGCCGCTATACTATGTACACTTCCTACCTTGGAGGACAGAATATATTATTCGGATGCACGCTGGACATCTCTATATTGATGGGTGATACGGCCCCCCTACCACCGATGCCCAGGCCACATGCCATAACTTAGACACTCCACTGAGAACTGTGAGCGTTGTCACCCTGGACAGGAAGTGAGTTACTGGGATCACCGAGTAATATCCTGAAAAAACTAATGTCACATCTAAGGAAGGGCGAGCTGCACTATTTTCGGTCTGTTCTGCAGGAAGTGTGAGGACAGATGGGGGATATGAGGGGGAGGAGGGGTTATGAAGGGGACATGGATGGACCTCCGGCTCTCAGGGGCCCCTAGCGCTAACTATCAGACTTCGCTGATTTTGAGGTCATTCACTTTAATGTTTTCTCCCCTAGAAACCAGCATCCTCCATGAGAACGTGGCCTTCGTCCTGTGTCTGGACACCTTGGCCAATGGCGACTCCCTCCACCTACACGTCTCTCGGCCGCCCCCAGAGGGCAGCGCGCAGTGGGAGTTCCTGAGGCAGCTGCAGACGGTAAATGAACCGTTTCTAACATGTGACACGTCTCATCAGATGATCATGCTGTGTGACCGCCTGGTTTCCTGGCACACCGAAAGCTCAGCCTGTGATTCCGCAAGCCAGGGATTCTCAGCTCCGCCCACCGGAACCCCCTTAACTGTCTAACAATACACCTCCTGATTGGCCAATAGGGCAACACTGACTCCTCTGCTCTACTGCAGCCTGCTGGAAGTATTGCTGAGAGGATAAGGGGTAAGAGGTGGTACTCTCCCATCCAAAAAGCCCCATATAATCCAGTTGCAGGGCATTGTGGGACATTACTTATACAGCACTCCAATGAACGGCCTTATCTAACAAAATGCACGGGGTATATGTTTAAATGTTTTCCCCCAAGATTCACAAAACTTTCACCCAGGATTCATTATATTCTAAAAATGGACTTCTATTAAAAAAGTGTGAATCTTGGGGGAAAATCTTTACAAATAGACCCCAAGTATGGAAGAACCAGAAATTAAAGTGCTGCAGGCGCCCAACTCTTCCTTCTTTGGATGATATAACTGTCTGTGATTGGGTCACCAAATATGAGAGGTCATGGAAAAAGCACGCCTCCCAATGACCCTCGGGGAAGGCGGCCATAGCCAAGGCACACCCATCCATGACCCTCGGGGGAGGCGGGCATAGCCAAGGCACCCCCATCCATGACCCTCGGGGGAGGCGGGCATAGCCAAGGCACCCCCATCCATGACCCTCGGGGAAGAACAGCCCACCTGAGACCCAACACAGCCACCTCAGAGCCCGCATAGCCCACTGAAGACCTCACACAGCCACCTGAGAGTCTGCATAGTTCACCTGAGACCTCACACAGCCACCTGAGAGCCCACATAGCCCACCTAAGACCCCACACAGCCACGTGAGAGCCCGCATAGCCCACTTAAGACCTCACCCAGCCACCTGAGAGTCTGCATAGTCCACCTGAGACCTCACACAGCCACCCGAGAGCCCGCATAGCCCACCTAAGACCTCACACAGCCACCTGGGAGTCTGCATAGCCCACCTAAGACCTCATACAGCCAACTGAGAGCCCGCATAGCCCACCTAAGACCTCATACAGCCACCTGAGAGCCCGCATAGCCCACCTAAGACCTCACACAGCCACCCTGAGAGTCCACACAGCCACCTGAGAGTCTGCACAGCCACCTGAGAGTCTGCACAGCCCACCTAAGAGCCTGTGGAGTCCACCTGAGAGCTCACACAGCCCTGGTGAGAGCCCGCACAGGCCACCTGAGACGTTGGAGACATCATGGCACCACCCCAGAACAACACAGAGTAGCGTCAAAATTATTTTGCATTGTTGTATAATGTAATAGTGGTCTCCTTACTCTCTCCCCTGGCTTCCTCTACCTCACTCTCTACTCTATATTGTGGCAAAAATAAAATTTGCTGCGTGAGGGGCTAAAGTGTTCGGGATGAAAAGGTGACAACCCTAATACAGACAGACATGGGGCCACATTAGGTTAATTATGTCACTAGGTCTCGGCCCCTTTGTTTACATGCAGCAGTCATTCAAGCTGAATGGGGCCTAGTACATCACTGGTTGCCAAGACACCGGCAGCTCCCGGCTTCCTAGCAACCCTCATATGGAAGTTCTCAGATAAAGTAATGCCGCTATACTATGTACACTTCCTACCTTGGAGGACAGAATATATTATTCGGATGCACGCTGGACATCTCTATATTGATGGGTGATACGGCCCCCCTACCACCGATGCCCAGGCCACATGCCATAACTTAGACACTCCACTGAGAACTGTGAGCGTTGTCACCCTGGACAGGAAGTGAGTTACTGGGATCACCGAGTAATATCCTGAAAAAACTAATGTCACATCTAAGGAAGGGCGAGCTGCACTATTTTCGGTCTGTTCTGCAGGAAGTGTGAGGACAGATGGGGGATATGAGGGGGAGGAGGGGTTATGAAGGGGACATGGATGGACCTCCGGCTCTCAGGGGCCCCTAGCGCTAACTATCAGACTTCGCTGATTTTGAGGTCATTCACTTTAATGTTTTCTCCCCTAGAAACCAGCATCCTCCATGAGAACGTGGCCTTCGTCCTGTGTCTGGACACCTTGGCCAATGGCGACTCCCTCCACCTACACGTCTCTCGGCCGCCCCCAGAGGGCAGCGCGCAGTGGGAGTTCCTGAGGCAGCTGCAGACGGTAAATGAACCGTTTCTAACATGTGACACGTCTCATCAGATGATCATGCTGTGTGACCGCCTGGTTTCCTGGCACACCGAAAGCTCAGCCTGTGATTCCGCAAGCCAGGGATTCTCAGCTCCGCCCACCGGAACCCCCTTAACTGTCTAACAATACACCTCCTGATTGGCCAATAGGGCAACACTGACTCCTCTGCTCTACTGCAGCCTGCTGGAAGTATTGCTGAGAGGATAAGGGGTAAGAGGTGGTACTCTCCCATCCAAAAAGCCCCATATAATCCAGTTGCAGGGCATTGTGGGACATTACTTATACAGCACTCCAATGAACGGCCTTATCTAACAAAATGCACGGGGTATATGTTTAAATGTTTTCCCCCAAGATTCACAAAACTTTCACCCAGGATTCATTATATTCTAAAAATGGACTTCTATTAAAAAAGTGTGAATCTTGGGGGAAAATCTTTACAAATAGACCCCAAGTATGGAAGAACCAGAAATTAAAGTGCTGCAGGCGCCCAACTCTTCCTTCTTTGGATGATATAACTGTCTGTGATTGGGTCACCAAATATGAGAGGTCATGGAAAAAGCACGCCTCCCAATGACCCTCGGGGAAGGCGGCCATAGCCAAGGCACACCCATCCATGACCCTCGGGGGAGGCGGGCATAGCCAAGGCACCCCCATCCATGACCCTCGGGGGAGGCGGGCATAGCCAAGGCACCCCCATCCATGACCCTCGGGGGAGGCGGGCATAGCCAAGGCACCCCCATCCATGACCCTCGGGGGAGGCGGGCATAGCCAAGGCACCCCCATCCATGACCCTCGGGGGAGGCGGGCATAGCCAAGGCACCCCCATCCATGACCCTCGGGGGAGGCGGGCATAGCCAAGGCACCCCCATCCATGACCCTCGGGGGAGGCGGGCATAGCCAAGGCACCCCCATCCATGACCCTCGGGGGAGGCGGGCATAGCCAAGGCACCCCCATCCATGACCCTCGGGGGAGGCGGGCATAGCCAAGGCACCCCCATCCATGACCCTCGGGGGAGGCGGGCATAGCCAAGGCACCCCCATCCATGACCCTCGGGGGAGGCGGGCATAGCCAAGGCACCCCCATCCATGACCCTCGGGGGAGGCGGGCATAGCCAAGGCACCCCCATCCATGACCCTCGGGGGAGGCGGGCATAGCCAAGGCACCCCCATCCATGACCCTCGGGGGAGGCGGGCATAGCCAAGGCACCCCCATCCATGACCCTCGGGGGAGGCGGGCATAGCCAAGGCACCCCCATCCATGACCCTCAGGGAAGGCGGCCATAGCCAAGGCACACCCATCCATGACCCTCGGGGAGGCGGGCATTGCCAAGGCACACCCATCCATGACCCTCGGGGGAGGCGGGCATAGCCAAGGCACCACCATCCATGACCCTCGGGGGAGGCGGGCATAGCCAAGGCACCCCCATCCATGACCCTCAGGGAAGGCGGGCATAGCCAAGGCACACCCAACCATGACCCTCGGGGGAGGCGGGCATAGCCAAGGTACACCTCCCAATGACCCTCGGGGGAGATGGGCACAAACATGATGCACTTCTCGATTGAATCTCAGGGGGTGGGCACAGACAGGGCACACCTCTCAATGACTCTCAGGTGGCGGGCACAGACAGGGAGCATGTCTCAATAGCTCTTGGGGGGCAGGCGAATACGGGGCACACCTCTCAATGACTCTCAGGGGCCGGACACAGACAAGTCACCCCTTCTTATGACTCTCAGGGGGCATGAACAGACAGGGCACACCTCTTAATTATTCTCGGGGGGGGCACAGACAGGGTACACCTTCCAATGACTCTCAGGAGGCGGGCACAGACAGGGTACACCTTCCAATGACTCTCAGGAGGCGGGCACAGACAGGGCACACCTTCCAATGACTCAGGAGGCGGGCACAGACAGGGCACACCTTCCAATGACTCAGGAGGCGGGCACAGACAGGGCACACCTTCCAATGACTCAGGAGGCGGGCACAGACAGGGCACACCTTCCAATGACTCAGGAGGCGGGCACAGACAGGGTACACCTTCCAATGACTCAGGAGGCGGGCACAGACAGGGTACACCTTCCAATGACTCTCAGGAGGCGGGCACAGACAGGGCACACCTTCCAATGACTCTCAGGAGGCGGGCACAGACATGGCACACCTTCCAATGACTCTCAGGAGGCGGGCACAGACAGGGCACACCTTCCAATGACTCTCAGGAGGCGGGCACAGATATGGCACACCTTCCAATGACTCTCAGGAGGCGGGCACAGACAGGGCACACC